TCGGTGTCCTCCTGCGGGGCCGTGGAGTCCCGGCCGAGAGGCGGCGCCCGCGCCGAGCGCCTACAAGGTACCCGCCTGCCCCGCGGGGTGCGGCGGCTGCGCCCAGGTTGCTTGGAGTCCACAGGCCTGGGAGGGGTGGGCAGCACTGCCCCAATGGGAAGGGCCCTGGCTAGACGTGAGGTGCCCCCCTGCGCCTATCTTAGCAGCAGGACTTAAGCACATTATTCACTTATTAGGCGACTGCTGGATGCCTTGCCCTGAGCCAGGCGCCTTACTTCCCATTAGCTCCTTTGACCTTCTGCGAAGTCCGGCCGCGGTATACCTGGCCTCGGAGTTTGAAGCACCCCGAGTAAAGCACTGACTTCAGAATGAAAGATATTAGATTAAGATCTCTCTTGCGCACTCCCTCCTTCTCTCACTCTGGGCACCCCCCCATACCCTATTGAGTAAAAATATACTATGTCGAGGTTTGGGAGTCTGATGTAGGTGTAATTTTCTTGTGGCAATTTTAGTAAACAAGTGCGGCAGAGGATAAGGCTTTGTGAACTGTTGAAAGTCATAACTTATTTCTTCCTGAGCGTGGAAATTTTAAGTAAAAGGACTTGACCATCAAAGAACAGAAACCTCTCTTAATCAAGATGTAAGGAGAAGGTGGTCTGAAAAACAACACAAGTTATGCCTTTAGTTTGTGGTGTTGGGGAGTTTCGGAAGCCTGCCCAGAATTTTGTGGTCTTGTTTTTTTGTGTGCTTTAAAATGGATAAGCTCTATCTAGCAAAGAAAGGCAGACTGTTTCCTTTCTTCGGTTGTAAATTCGGTTTTTTTCTTTATGAACCGAGTTGCATAATTTGGGGGAAAACAGGATGCGCTGTGAGTAAAAATTTAACACCTAGATAATCTTAAATGTTGAAGTCTTATTGGCATGATTTTAAAAGAACATCTCTTTTCAGTGCTTTCTACTGTTAGCCATCCTTCTTTTCTTTTTTGTTTTAAAAGGTTATTTTTCATTTAAAATTATTTAAATAGTGATTTAAGCCACAGTATGTTAAGAGAGTAGCCCATCTGAAAATTGTGTATTTGTGTATTAAGGACCTTTTCTGAGGTCCTTAGGACCTTTGGCCTTCCTCTGGCTGAAACTTTATTTTCCTAATTCTTGGTTTCCCGCACAGCCTAGGGGGATTCCTGAAAGTGCATTTTTCTCCCTGTGACGTTCAATTGCTAACTGCTGTCATTACACAGGAATGTTATTTTAGATTAGGGCAATTCTGGTATTTGTTGAAATCTCTAAACTTAAATGAAGCCCAAGTGATTATTTAATTTGCCTCATCCTTGAGCTGTTTACCTCATGTATTTAGTATGATATATATATATTCAAATTATACATTGTTTCTTGTCTCATCTTCTTAATTTTACCCACTCTTCACAGGGTGACCCAGTTATTCATTTCCTGACTTTTTGAATCGTTTGTCTTCATCACATTTCCTAAGAGGCTATGATTTAGTAGTGGCCAGAAGTAGAATACTATACTTCTAGAGTAAATTTTAAAGTGTGTTCTGAAGTTTTAACAAGCATATTTTCTTTTTACTTAGAAGGCCTATGTAAGCAATTCTGAAAACACTTAATGAAAGGAAAGCCTGAGTATGTATGTGAAAAATGTGTTTAAACTTAGTAAATTTAAGCAGCTTCCTTAGTACAGTTGGATTGAGGGAAATCATAAGAAATCAATATAAGCATTATTAATTGTTAGGCTTTTGTACACTGGGATCTTTGGATGAAGTTGTTTTGTACTTATTTGTTTTGTGTCTTCTTAGATGAGGGGAAATTAATAGACTTTTACATTTCTATGTGAACATAAAGCCTTTGGTTTGGAAAGCTAAAAATGCACCATTTATTCTCTGTTCCCCTAAGTATTTTTTACCAAAGTCAAGAATAATTAAAACTTATTCTAGAGACAGACTTAACTTGGGTTTATCACTGCTGGCTCCAGGGATCCTGGACATTTTTTGACTGAGCTTTCATTGCTTAGGGTGCCTAGTACAGAGCACTATTAAGCAACCTAGAACCCTTGAGAAGAGCAGGGTACTGACACACAAGGCCATTGACCGGAGAGAGTTGGAAAGGTTTTTAATCTGTTTCTTGGGAACTTTATACATAAGGCAGGTAGCTATACTTTAGGGATTATTAGGATTTGTGTTGGTGACGAGGTTTAATTGGGACATGTTTTGCTTTCTTTAAACAGTTGAGCCCCATATGGGGGTTGGCAGGCAGCAGAGAGGACCCTTTCAAGGTGTTCGTGTGAAGAACTCGGTGAAGGAGCTCCTGCTACACATCCGAAGTCATAAACAGAAGACTTCTGGCCAAGCTGATGATTTTAAGGTGGCATCTAGTTTTCATTCTGAGTGGGGTTGAAGGAGATTAGTCTGTTAGGGTTATTATTTTTTACTAAACTAGATTCAGTAAGTCGCTTGAAGTTTTTCATAAATGATCAAGTTCACAGGACAGAGTATATTTGTCTTGTTGACTGCTGTATTTCTATCATTTAATCCAGTGCAGGCATCTAGGGTGTACAGGAGAAATTTAGTGAATGAAAGTGAAAGCAAGCTAGGGACAAGGAAATAAATAGGGTTCAATTGAAGTGGAACATTTGATAGAAAGGAAAAAATCAAAGAGTCTTACTAATTTCATCTTGACCTGAATTGAACTGAGATGAAAGTATAAATGGAGAAGTTGAAAAATAGAATGAAATTGAGATAGAAAATAAATATTGATAGGATAGCCATATCAGAGATTTATGGTGTGCTATAAAGAGTGGTAGAGATAAGTCTTTATTGATGTGTATTAAGCAGGAAACCATTTTATATATACTAAATTGGATTTTTTTTCCTTATAGACACAGAGTGTGAACATTGAACAATTCACAGGTAAGAGTAATTTCTATTTATAATGTTATTGGGGCTGTAGAGTTAAATAATGGTGATAATGGGTAAAATTTGTAAAGTAGAATGATCACAGGTTCCATATCCCCTTTTTTTGGGTATAGAATTGAAGAACACAGTATCATATAGTGGGAAAAGGAAAGGACCTGATTTTCTGTCTGATGGACCAGCCTGCAAAAAGTCAGCTCTGTTTTTGGTAAGTATCTCATTTTTTCCCCTCTGAATACCATTTGAATATCCTTCCTGGAATAATTTTATTATTTAAAATTTGTGTGTGTGTGTGTGTGTGTGTGTTTTGGGGACTGAACCCCAGATTCTGTACCGTTGAGCTATACCTCTAGCCTCTGGAAAATTTTTTGAAGGAAGTGAGTGTGCAAGTTGAATTTTCTCTCTTTTCAGACACCACCTCAAACACCAACACCTGGTGAGAGCATGGAAGATGTTCATCACAATGAATCCAAACCAGACAGCAGTGCTGATCTGCTTCAGAACATTATAAACATTAAAAATGAATGCAGCCCAGTTTCCCTGAACACAGTTCAAGTTAACTGGAAGAGCCCTGTGGTACCTCAGAGCTCTCCCCAAGAGCAGTGTCAGGACTTCCATGGAGGGCAGGTCTTCTCTCCACCTCAGAAATATCAACCATTCCAAGTCAGTGGCTCCCCACAAGTGATGGACCAGGCTTCCCTGTACCAGTATTCTCCACAGAACCAGAATGTAGAGCAGCAGCAACAGCAGCAGCAACAGCAGCAGCAACAGCATTATACCTACAACCCAGCTCTGGAATATAGTCCTTATTCCAGAACTTCCCAGTCACCCAACTATGAATCAAACCTCTTTGATGGCCAAGAACCACAGTTCTGCTCAAACCGAAGTTTTGTATCCCTTCTAAGTGGTCATGGGGAATCTGAGAATATTGCTGTTCCCCTTCAGACTCCCCACAGTGTGCAGCAACCAAGTGATGCTCACCTGCAGAACTTCAGTGTGATGCCCAACAGTTCCTGCGAGGCCCTGGGGGCGATCGATGCAGGCCCTGCCTCTTTAAACACTTCCCTGCCATTCCCAAACCTTATGGGAAACCAGATGAACACCACACAGTTAGGGAAGTCATTTTTTCAGTGGCAAGTAGAGCAAGAAGAAAATAAATTGGCAAACATTTCCCAGGATCAATTTCTTTCAAAGGATGCAGATGGTGATACGTGAGTATCCTTTTCTCTCGTGCTTAATTGGGTATGCCACACTAGTTGAGACTAGTGGGCATAGCATTTTTCTAGAATATACTAGGTTATAGCTTGGTGGTTGGCTAACCAACGACAACTTAGGTAGAAACTGCTGTTCAATAGCTAATATTTCAAGGAAGGATGTGCTTTTTTTTTGGCTAAAATAATTACTTAATATATGTGTCTTTGAGTAGTTGGTTTTGAAGGCCAGCGAAACTATGTTTATAGAGCAGAAACAGATCATGACTAGGCATAGATGGTGAGTTGATTTGTAGACTGAATCCTGATCTGTCTTGATGTCTGTTTGACCTTGGGCAAATTATTTGAAATACCCACCTATATATTTTTTTAAGACTCTTCTTTGAGAACTTTTAAAAAAAATCATTTTAAGCACATTTATTTAATATGTCGTGATGAGGACTGAACCCAGAACTTTGTGCATAGGAGGCCAGCACTCTGTCCACTGAGCTACCTCCCCAGCCCCTGCCTCTATTTCTTGATGTATAAAAAGTAATACCCACTTCATAGGGTTTTTATGAGTATTAAAAAATAATTTAAAGCAGTCAGCAGGGTGTTGGGCAGTCTTCTCTTATTTCTGTTACCTTAATTTATCCTGTTAGAGTTTGGATGTGTCATCCATTTTGCAGAAAAGATCAATTATGCTCTGTAATGTTTTATTTGAATGCATTATTATATCAAAAAAAGGGCTGAGAAAGATTTTTTTTTAAATGAACTTAGTGAAATCAGATGAATTCACCTATTTTTCTTTCCTCATTCCCTAGGTTCCTCCATATTGCTGTTGCTCAAGGGAGAAGAGCACTTTCCTATGTTCTTGCAAGAAAGATGAATGCGCTTCACATGCTAGATATTAAGGAGCACAATGGACAGGTGAGGATCTGAAATGGCAAAGATATGGTCATGGTGAAGCGATTGATGACTGTCTTAAGTGTATATTGTGTCAAAGCTCAAGATCAAGAGACTTTAGTTAATATTAACTTTGAAATATTGACTTTTTGCCATCATCAACCTTGACATTATTAATGTTAACTTTGTAGTTATTGACTAAAGATTGAGTATATTAAGCCACACCCTAAGCTTATTTTAATTTCCTTGTTTTTCTTACAGTGTCTGATTGTTTGTTAATAGGATTTATTTTCTCTGTATGGGTTTTAGTTTTCCCCACGGTTTAGTTTCACATTCTTTGTTATAGTGTTATATCTTGAAAATATATATATTTTTTTCCTCTGAATGTCCACAGAGTGCCTTTCAGGTGGCAGTGGCTGCCAATCAGCATCTCATTGTGCAGGATCTGGTAAATCTGGGGGCCCAGGTGAATACCACCGACTGCTGGGGAAGAACACCTCTGCATGTCTGTGCTGAGAAGGGCCACTCCCAGGTGCTTCAGGTAAGAGACAGTGACTTCCACCATCACAGGGCCAAAGAGATAAGGCTTAGATATTAGAAGTTGCAAGTAGGTTGCTTGTTTCAATAATCTGTTTTGAGTTGATTTATTCTTTTCTTAGGAATTCTAGTAGATAAGTGTTTGTGTTCTCCTCTTTTGCTAACGATGTCTGTTTTAAAATTTTGTAGGCAATCCAGAAGGGAGCAGTGAGGAGCAATCAGTTTGTGGATCTTGAGGCAACTAACTATGATGGTAAGCAATTGAAACCTTATTGGATTAAGAACTATATGGAGGGCTGGGTGTGGTAGCACACACATGTAATCCCAGCTGAGGCTGAGGCAGGAGTTTCAAATGTTCAAGACCAGCCTCAGCAACTTAGTGAGACCCTAAAATATAAAGGCTGGGGATGTAGTCAGTTATAGCACACTTGGGTTCAATCCACAGTGTGAGTAGGGATGAAAGGGGGAAGAACCATGTGGAAAGTAGGGCCCTTAAGTTCTAAGCATTATTAAGTATCATACTAAGAATGAAGGAAGGTAATTAAAACTAAAATGTTCTTTAGGTAAAATTAGCACTAACGCATCTATTCAGATTTTATTACTAGTTTTTGTGAAGCCCCTTGATAGGCAATCTGAGAGGTCATCCTCAAGCTTTGTAATTGCAGAGCAGTCAAAGAATTGACAAGATGCTTGACCACTGCTTTACTGTCCTTTTCTCCTAGGCCTGACTCCCCTCCATTGTGCTGTCCTGGCCCACAATGCTGTAGTACATGAGCTCCAGAGAAATCAACAGCCTCATTCACCCGAAGTTCAGGAGCTTTTACTGAAGAATAAGAGTCTAGTTGACACCATCAAGTGTCTGATTCAAATGGGAGCAGCAGTGGAAGCAAAGGTAAATTCACAGAAGAGGTTTGAGATGAGGTCAGGGAGAAAGGTGGTTGTAGCAAAAGACTTTATTCCCAAGTACAGGTGAAAGCAACTTTTTTCTTGTTTTTAAGTTAATTGAGTGAGTAGCAATGTATGCATAGTTAAGAAGATTACATTATAAAGGATCCTTTAATTTGCTTTCTTGATCTGCTTGTATTCTATGGATTATTATCCAAAAAGATCATTTAGCTGTGAAATAAATTAGTCTTTGAAAGGAAAAAAAATGCTTGAAAATGATGTTGTCATTTAGGCTTTCATTTGCATATTATGACAATAAAGATAGTGGTTTTGGTGGGGGTTTCTTTGTTGTAGGATTGGGCTTAACTTTTTTTTTTTTTTTTTTTAAACAAGCCCTTTATATTTTATTGTTAAATAAGCTGTTTGGTCTTTCCAAGCATTTGTTTTTTAAGCTGTGACTATTTTGTTCTTTTTAAATTGGAAGTTTGTGTACTAAATATTTCCTGTGTCCTAAAGCACTGTTAGTTGCTTTGGGGGTGGGGGAATGCCTACATCATAAATCATTTGGGCATTTTGGGGGTTCACTAATAGAAAAGCTAAGAGAGATGGTTCATGATAGCTGCCCTTGGTACCACAAAGTATAAAAATGATGATATATAGTAAAAAGCTTACTGATCTAATACATGATAAGAAGGTATCATGTTTCTACATTTTATGGCTACCCTTGATACAAGGGTAGATGGTGATGAGAGTTAAGTAGATAAATTATTAGGAAATTTAGGAGGAATGAGATTCCATTTAGCTTGGGTTTCAGGAAGACTTTGTGTATAAGAGAACATTCAAAGTTAAGTCTCTGAGGCTAATTCAGACATTTGAGAGACAGGATAAGAAGTGTATTCCAAGCCTTGGTATCTGAATTTTCATTTTTTTTCTCCTCTTGTCTTTGACAAGGACCGTAAAAGTGGCCGCACAGCACTGCATTTGGCAGCCGAAGAAGCAAATCTGGAACTCATTCGCCTCTTTTTGGAGTTGCCTGGTTGCCTGTCTTTTGTGAATACAAAGGTGCTTTTAGAAACCTTCAGTAACACCTGAGTTGAAGTGACCTTTGTCACACCTTCTTCAAGTTTTCAGGCTCTTTTCATGAAAGTTCCCCTTCCTGATGTGAGTTATTTCATTTCTTTGTCTTCAGGCTTATAATGGAAACACTGCGCTCCATGTTGCTGCCAGCCTACAGTATCGGGTGACACAGTTGGATGCTGTCCGCCTGTTGATGAGGAAGGGAGCCGACCCAAGTACCCGGAACTTGGAGAATGAACAGCCAGTGCATTTGGTTCCTGATGGCCCTGTGGGAGAACAGGTGAGGGAGGAAGAGGAAATACCTTCAGGCACTCTGGTCTGAAACAAAAGGAGATGGATGAGGTTGTTCAGGTGGAGGCCAGCTGGTGCTCCTTGGGTAGGCAGTGTCCTTGTCTCTCAGTAGTCAGTATGACACTTTGGAGTTAATAATTTTGTTTCCAAAGGAAGGGTAAGAAATTTGAGGGTTTATCCATAAAGTGGTCAGATCAGGTGAGATAGTCTCCTTTTTTCTTTTCCCTGATATAATCTTGGTTTTAGTATAAGTTCAGAATGGTTCAAGATTTGGAAGCTGATGAAAGAGGAGGTACTAAGGTTCCTATAGTTATCAAGGCAAGAGATTCTTAGTTTTATAGCTATGAGCCTTCAAATATTGTGGCATTAAATGAGTTCACATCTGTAGAGTGTTCAGGATAGTCTCAGGCATATAATAAGTGTTCAGTGAGCACCACCTGTTACAATTATTTCTATTCAAGTGATATTGCAATAAGAAGTGGAAAGGCTATAATGTAACAGAACATAGTATAAACTAGAATTTTATAAACAAAATTGTGCTTTACTCATCAAGTGTGGTTTATATTATCACTGGGGATTGAATAATTGCATGAGTGGATTTCTAGATAATAAGAACTCACTCCTTTAAGAAATTAAAAGATTTTTGATGGAAATCTTCTCGTGTGGGAAATGAGGGTGAGTTGGGTAGTTCATCACATTATTAATTAAAATAAGATATATGAAATGCAATTTAACTTTTTTTGATTTCTGGTTGTCATTATGACCATAATGATACCATAACCCCTCTGTAAGTTAGAATCTCTATAGTCTGTAGCAGATTTTATGTAAATCACTTAATATCTACAAATACTTTGTAGTATATTCAGCTGTGAAAGTTGGTATTTAGAGAGGTTCTGAGGACAGGAATAATCATTAACTAGTGCACATCAGAGTGCTAAGCCCAGGATTTGCTCTGCCTTTTACTATTGTGGTGTGCACTCACATAACAGTGCTCCCAGGGAGCATTGAAGTGTGGAGGCTCATTTGCTTCCTTAAAAATGTTCTTAGATTACTCTCTTTTTTGCTTTTGCATTATGTTTGTTGGGGAGTGGAGAGATCTTTCCTCTTGCTTTTATTGTCAGACTATCAGTTAAATCCCCTATCCCAGTTGTCATTCTTCTAAATTGTTACTTCTAATTTGTTGGGGTTGAAAGACAGATAATCGGTTTAATAGACCAAATCACTAAAATCAAATCACTAGCCTCTGAATGAGCCTGAGGACTTTCATGTGATCCATAAAATTATGTGTAGATGCTTTATTGAACACTTTGATATCATGACAGCTGTTTTGACTTGAAGGGTGCTAAGGGAGACATGGCATGCATTTTATTAGGTAGTTTATACTTTGCTATTGTTAAGTACTATAACTTGTTGAGGCTGGCTTCAGTATAACTGAGATATTTTAATATATCTTACAGTCATAATTAAATATCTTCATAAATAACAATTCTAAATTTGTGAGGAAGGAAATATTCTATTTTAGCTGTAGATTTTCAACTTCATATAATTTATTTTTCAGATAATTAAAACAAATTTTTAATCATTACTTTTTAGCTTTAGGTGGACACAGTATCTTTATTTTATTTCTATGTGGTACTGAAGACCAAACCCAGTACCTCATGCATGCTAGGCAAGCACTCTACCACTGAGCCACAACCCCAGCCCCCAATTTTTCAGATACTTTTTAGTGGAGATGTTTGATTTGTCTTGCACTCAAAGATCACTATAGGAGTTCTTAAATAAGCTTTAAAAGGAGTTGCATTTTTTAAGTCACTTTAATCTTTTTTTTAAATGTCTTTCTAACTTATTGATGGACCTTTATTTTATGTGTTTATATGTGGTACTGAGAATCCAACCCAGTACCTTGACATGTTCTAGGCAAGTGCTCTATCACTGAGCCACAACCCCAGCCCTTTAAGTCACTTTAATCATGACAGATATTTTGCATATTTCTTCTTCTTTTTTTTTTATTAGCTACACATGACATTACAATGATCTTGGCAATTCATACATTTGAATCATTAGGGTATAATTTCTCATTTTTCGAATTGTACAGATTGTAGAGTCACACTGGTCATAGAGTCACCTATATACATACATCAATTATAATGTCTATTCTGTTCTGCTGCCCTTCCGATCCCCCCTACTCCTCCCCTCCCCTCCCATCATTTCTCTCTATCCAATCTAATGTGACACACTTCATTTTTTTTTTCTCCTCACAACATCATACATGTATTCTGTATAACGATGAGGGTCTCCTTCCATCTTCCGTGCAACTCCTCTTCTCCCTCTTTTTCCCTCCCACCTCTCTTCCCTATTTAGTGGTAGTCTTCTTCTCATGCTCTTCCTCCCTATCCCATTTTGAGTCACCCCCCTTATATCAGAGAAGACATTCGACATTTGTTTTTTAGGGATTGGCAAACTTCACTTAGCATAATATTTTGCACATTTTTTTAAGGAATGCTATAGAGTATATAAGAAAGGAATTAAACTCTGAATAAAATATACACGTGACCCTCAACAGTAAACCTCACAAATCCTATTTATTTCTCTTGCAGATTCGACGTATCCTGAAGGGGAAGTCTGTTCAGCAGAGAGCGCCACCATATTAGCTCCACTGACCTGGAGCCTGGTCAGCAACACTCACTGTCAGTTAGGCAGTCCTAATGTATCTGTACATAGACCATTTGCCCTGTATCGGCAAATGTAAGTTGTTTCTATGAAACAAACATATTTAGTTCACTATTATATAGTGGGTTATATTAACACAAAGAAGAAAAATGTCTAATTTCTCTTGGCAGATTTACATATTTCATACCCAGGTATCTGGGATCTAGACATCTGAATTTGATCTGAATGGTAAAATTGCCTTCAATTAACAGTAGTTTTTGGGTAGAAGAAAACTGGTTTGTGGCATAAGGCATCACTTATGTAGCCATTACTGGTTCCAGGCAGGTAAATTTTAAACATTTCTTTAAGAAAAATGAAAGAATTTGAAAGGGGGGAAAAATCTGGATATAGTGTTGAGGCTTCTTATAGTCTGATGCACTACCTGTCATTGTTATTGGTGTTGGTGTGTCTCTAGTCATTGGACTAGATGGAAGGCATCTATGGTTAGGATTTGATCTTTGCAAACTGTATATAACTGTTATTTTTGTTTTTAGAAATATTGTACATATTTGACCAGTAACATGGATATTTGAAATGTTAATCAATAAAGTAGAAATAAATAATTGAATTAATAAACAAGTGTATTTACTTTTAAAAAGGAGTGTTGTTCCTAGCTAAAGTCTTTGTAGATGAAGCAAATGTGGGGCGGAAAGAGCCATGTTTAATTTGTTAATATGCTTCTTATGCATTGAAATGAGACACTTTATTTGTATATTATTGCATGCTTTTGAAGAGAAGCTCTTGATGGCTCACCTTCTAGAATTTATAATTTTACATGAGCTATTGAAATTTTTGTTCTTAATCTTTATAGAAACAAAAAAAGTCAATATAGAAACATATCTTCCTCTTTTCTATTGTCAAATAATGATAATGTGCCATGATGTTTATATTATTCAGAAGAAAACTTTATTTTTTAGTAATTTTGATTCTGTTAACATTTTGCTTACCTCTGGCATGCCCTGAGGAACACATTTGGCTTTAATTGTTTCCTAATTCTTTGTGATAAATTTGACTCATTAAAAAAATCTTATTTTAAAAAAGATAAGTCTGATAATTGACTTATTGTCTTTGTAGCTTAGTACTTACATTCTTTTAAAAAAGATACCATTAGGATTAATCATATTGTTTGACTCAGTATGTCTTGTGGACAAAAGTTAGGTATAGTCACTTGACATCTGTAAAAAATACGAAAAACGCTTGCATGATTTTAAATAAACATTAATACATGAATGTTTGTCTTAAGGATATGCATTTTCTTTTCCTACTGTCTTATTTATATTTCTGTAGGCAGGAAAATACTATTAATGACTAATATAAATACCTTTAAATTACTTAATATATTTTAATTTCAACTTTTGAGAACATGTTTCTAAAGGTATGTAAGATTTAACAACAACAACAACAAAACCCTCATCATTAGTAGATATTTATTAAGTTCTGAAAATATCATGGAAGTTTAATAGATACTGTGATTATTCAGAAGCTTATATGGTTCAAAAACCCAAAAAGCCAGTGAGAGCAGTGAACACATGAAAAACAGTTTGGGGATTACCAGTATCACTGTGAGAGGGTTACATCTGGGAGCAGTAGTACATGAGGTTCTTCCCTTTCCCAGCATGACATTTCAACATGTGGGAGGACAAACACACCTGTCAGCATCAGTCATCACAATTACTGCACATATAATCTAATTCTTTTTAACTTGAGAATATGAAGGATATAGATTCTTTCCCTGGAAAAATGTACATAAGCATATGGCCACAAATGTTATGTATATCAAAGTTTTCACACACTCTAGAAAAACCACAATTTACAGTCTGAGAATCTACTTTTGTATTATTTCTGTACATTAGATAAACTTTCTTTCATATAATGAAATCCAAAGAATAATTTGCTTTGCAATTACAACCTGATAACCAGAACTATAGAAATGATAGATGCCCACTGAACATAGCTGTACGGTGAGCTTTTCCCAAGTGAACTTATATGTTCTCTCTTAATCCCAAATCCTCTCATAATTAATCAATTGAATCAATGCCTGGCAAGGAAATTTGTGTGTGTGTTCACAGATGTATGGTTGATAATATGAGGTCAAGATCTAAGACATTTCTTAGTTTTAAGGTGCTTATGTGAGAGATGGTATGCACTTTATTAGGTCAACTAGGACTTTGTTGCTATTAAGGAGTGTAACAAAAGGAAGAAGTAATTATAGAGATTCAGAAGAGGAATTACAACTGAATGGGGAGGATTCAAATGTTCTGTCTGGTTTTTAATTCCGACAGAACATTTGTGCTAGATCTTTAGGATGGTTGACTTGAATGTTTGTAGGAAGGAGAAGCAAGTCGAACAAGATAGCATGAACCAAGGCATAGTGTTTTGTGGGATCAGCAGTTGATTTCAGTATAGTTTGGTTAGGATCTAGGACAGTAAATCAGTTTTATCTTGTGTTCCACCTCTAACTGATAATATTATGGGTATCATGTTGGGAAAGATCCCCAGGCCTCCTGAGGACTTGGCAGGAGAGGATATTGTGATCTCTGCCACAGGAATGTGAATAGAAGCTCTTATGGAATAGGCCTTTAGAATGAGCCTAAAAGAAACCAAGCTGATGTGCTCATTATGGCAACCTCACCTAGCATAATGTCCAGCACAAGGTAGGAGCTTGTAAAATATTGCTTCAGTGAGTGAATTAATGTATGCCAATCTTAGTTGGGATCACTGGTTTTAGGGAGAGTCATATTTTGAACCAGAGTTATGCTATTAAATAATACTGAATTAATAATGATTACAATTCTGAACTTAGCCATATAATTTAACATCAATCATATGTTAATGAAAATGGGCACAGCTGGACTCTTTTTTTTTTTTTTTTTATGTTGGGCTGTCCCTCTTTGCAAAGGACGAACTCTAGAATTGTAGTTTGATGTTCACTAAGGAATCCCCACAAGAGTCAGAGAGCAAATTTTTCACCTCTATTTGTTAGTCAAATCAGAAACATTAACATTCTTTCTATAATTTTCCTTAACCAGGAGTTGAGAATTTCCTTATACTCCTCTAACTTTTAATAAATGTCAACTTCTTAAAACTAATGCCACTGACTTCCATGTTTTAAAATAACATCAGTTTTATATTGAAAGTGACTGCGGAGAGAAATTCACTTTAGCCACAGGGTACGCTCTTGGTGATTGCCCCAAGATCAGCCCTAGGTGCAAGTGTTGAGATTAATTATAACCATGCTTCTGGTTTCCCAGTGAGTGCCCTAAGTTAGTGCTTCAGAGAAATGGGGGGACTGTTATATTCAATATTAGAGGACCTATACCTCCCACAGTATCTGAGACAGTAGACATTCAATAACTAGTTCTTACATCAAAGTTAATGTCATTGCTCTCTTTATTTTTTTTTTCTGACAAACTTTAGTGCATAAACATTTTATTTTTCATATGGAGTATATGTTTTAATCCAGAAGTACTCTAATACTTTCACTACATACAAAGTCTGATTTTACTTTATTTTCTCAGTCCTCTCTTTCCACCTTTCAGTCTGTGCAGACCCAGAAACATGCTATGGATGAAATATTTACTTCTAGGAATGAGACTGTCGAAGGGTGTCCATCCCATTTATGTTATTCTGTGCACCATGATCTCTATCAGAATCGTATTTCCTCCAAATGGGGATCAGAATAGCCAGATGGTTCCGTTGCTGAATGCCCTAGGTTCAAGGTTTCAGTCATAGGGGAATATTAGCATATTTTGTGAAATTTGTTAAGGATGTAAATTCCTAGGTCTCACCCCAGACTTTCCTAGAATTTGCAGGGTTTTCAGGGCTTCTGACAGGCATATATGAAGATGGTTCCAGTGCAGTGTCGTGTAAATCAGTTGGGAAATGCAGATTGGGGAGCATAGCTGTGGTGTGACAGTAGCCACATGATGGTAACAGAATGGGTTGCTGTAACATCCACGGGGATGATGTAGCAACCCCATGAATGCATGCAATGTGCAAGACACAGTGGATCCTGTGATACAGACACTAACTAGGGTAGAAGATGAAATCACGAGTTACCTTGTCTGTTTTTCTGCTTTCAGAAAATGTTTTCCTTAGATCATTCTGGTTTTTAAGTCCCCGGGTGCATTAGTTTGCTAATACTGTAACAAATACCAGAAATGCAGTAGCTTAAATGAGAAATCTGTTCTTGCACAGATCAGGAGCACAGAACTCTGAAATCAAGGTGTTATCAGAATCATCTCCCTCCAAAGGTGGTAGGAGATTCTTTCCTTGCCTGTTCCAGCTTCTGGAGGCTCCTGGTGTTCCTTGGCTTGTCAGTGTAACATCAGTCTCCTTCCATCTTCATGTGGCCTTCTCTTCCTGTGTTTTTCCTTTGGATATCTCTTATAAGGAGACTTGTCACTGGATTTAGGGTCCACCTGAATAATCTAGATGACTTGATCTCAAGGTTCTTAATTACATGTGAAAAACACTGTCTCCAAATAAGGTCTAATTCACAGATCCTGAGGGTTAGGATGTGAATGTATCTTTTGGGGGGAGGGGCACCATTTAACTAACAGCACAAGGAAAAGTACTTACCTTTCATACTAACATTATTTCTGTTATAAAATGAATAAGATTAAGATTTCATGTTTAAAAAATCTATTTGTAGTTTTAAGAACCCTTAACATAAGAGCTATCCTCTTTAAATTATTAAATGTACGATAAAGTATTGCTAACTCTAGCAACAATGTCATATACAATAGATCTCTAGAACTTATGAATATTTCTTTTTCAGCAATTATATAGTCTGTCTTCAGAATCTATGAAGACTTTTATACATAATTTTTGATATAATGTACAGTACAGCGTCTCCATTTTGTATTATTTATAATATCTGGCATTGACCAGGAATCTTATGTACACTGGTAGATAAATTCTTGTTTTCTTTTTGATACCAGGAATTGAACCCATGGGTGGGTGCCTAACCACTGAGCAACATCCACAGCCCTTTTTAAAATTTTTTATTTAGAGACAGGGTCTCACTAAGTTGCTTATGGCCTCTATAAGTTGCTGAGGCTGACTTTAAACTTGTGATCCTCCTGCCTCAGCCTCCTGAGCTGCTGGGATTACAGGTGCATGCCACCATGCTTGGCCTGACAGACAAATTTTAAGGGAAATAAAAATAATTATTGAGCTTTAATTTAAAAGTATTATAGTGATTAAAAGTGCTTTAATTGTTTTAAATTTAGAAAACATCTTTGATTATCATGAGTTATTCTGTCTGGTACACATATGAATAAACCTGCCATTCTTCACTTTGGATCATACTACCTAGAGTTTTCCATGTGGAAAGCAATATGATAATAAATTAGATGCCTATCCTATGCTTTAGAGCACCCCTGTAATGATAACGGTAGAATAGGTGCGCAATGGTAACTGCAAATATTAGAAAGTGAAGAGTTTAAAAGTACTGATTTTACTTTCTTCAGACTTCATAGACATACACTGCTTTGGGCCTAGATATAATTTTTTAAAGTTTGTTGATTTATTCCAATTTGACAGCAGAATGCATTTCAATTCATAGTACACATACAGAGCACAATTTTTCACGTCTCTGGTTGTACACAAAGTAGAGTCACACCATTCATGTCTTTATACATGTGCTTGGGGTAATGATGTCCAATTCATTTCACTGTCTTTCCTCCCTGCTCTCCCCTCCCTCCCCTTTGTCCTATCTAAAGTTCCTCCATTCCTCCCATGCTCCCCTTGCCATCCCTATTATGGATCAGCATCCTTATCAGAGAAAACATTCTAGATATTAATTTTTAAGTGACAGAATTGTGGCTATTGATCTGAAAATAAAAATTTCAAGCATGTGTTTCCTGTTGGAACAGCATAGTAACTTTTCAGGCTTGTCAATGGAGACAAGATTGTGAAATGACAGTAGATTCCTTAGCTTGATATGGGGCTCAGGTTTGGAGTTACTGTTTATCAGTTCATGGCCTTTTAATCTGCACAACCTGCTCCTCCTATTTGCATTCAAATGTGTCTCATG